TCCTGGAGGTGTCGCGGGCGGCTCTGCAGCGGTGAGTGCCCGGCCCGGCCGGCCCTGCCCGCACGGTTCTGCCTGCCGAACGTCAAAAACGGTGGCAGAGCTTTCCAGAAATGGGTGTTTCGAGCGAGGAAGCGTCTGGAAAGAAAAAGGGCAGCAGCTGGTGCACGGGCACCAGGCAGGCTGAGACGCGTGCTTTTAGAAATGTTGAATGTTGGTCGATGGTTACTGCTTATGTCCTTTGTCTTTGCTGCCTTTTCATTCTTGACACTATCTCCTTTCACCCTGTAAACATTGGAAGGAAACCAAGCACTGGCTAGTCAGCTGTGTGTCTGAGTAGCCACAGCCTGCAGTGTCACCCCCAGAATAGGAGGGGGGTGCCTTTGCTGCTTGTAAAGCTCAGATCTTCCAGTCTAGTTCCAACTCCCTTAAATTAAAGGCAGTTGCTGCTAAGACAATGCATAAATGGGGTAGACAAAGCCAGGTAAGGGAGCATAAAATGGTCACAGTGGGAAATTACATTTGCTTCCTGCAATAACATGGTATCTTTTTCCTTGGAAAAGCTCCATAGTTCAACTGGGTCTATAATAAAGGATTTGTTTGTGACTAGATCATAAAATGTACGGACTAAGACCATTCTGCAGAACTGGCAGGTAGAAGTCTGACCAAGAAAGGACTATGTGGCAAACAGAAGAAATGCTGCCTATACCTGCCTTACAGCACATTTGCTTTTTAGAGCTGTGTGAAGGGTTTGCTTGACCTAAGAGTCACCAGTGGCTGAGGCCCAGGGCTCACTGTTTAAACATTGGCAGAGGGACTCCATTAGGCTGTTGAAGAGCAGAGTCCTGTGGGAAACGTGCCATGCACGACTGCACCACCCTGCACACAGACACGCTTGCAGCTGATGGACAGTTCATGGCCAAGTACATGTCTGGCCATTCCAGCTCACCCAGCAGCTTGGCATTGCTGTCTGTGTCCTAGTGTATCACCAGTGTTTGCAAGAGATCAGCAGCACTTGTCCTCTGCAGCCTCCCAAAACAGCTCTCTGGCTTGGACTACAACTGCTCTGTAACGCTTCAATTTGATTTATTTGTAGGTCTCTTGATGTGAATTTTGGGGCTGTGCTTCATGTCTCCCAGGTGAGGAAGAATTGTCACTGCAGCTGTCTCCGTGAATAGCAATGACTAAATTGTTGTACGTAGCAGAGATACAGAATCACAGAATATCCTGTTGAAAGATCCACAAGGATCAAATCCAACTCTTGGCCCTGCACAGGACAGCTGTAGGAATCACACCATGTGCCTGAGAGCATTGTCCAAGCATTTCTTGAACTCTCTCAGGCTTGGTGTTGTGACCACTGTCCTAGGGAGATGTTTCAGTGCCCAGCTGTGCTCTGGGGGAAAGACCTTTCTCTAATATTGAACCTAAACTTGAAAGATCCACAAGGATCAAATCCAACTCTTGGCCCTGCACAGGACAGCTGTAGGAATCACACCATGTGCCTGAGAGCATTGTCCAAGCATTTCTTGAACTCTCTCAGGCTTGGTGTTGTGACCACTGTCCTAGGGAGATGTTTCAGTGCCCAGCTGTGCTCTGGGGGAAAGACCTTTCTCTAATATTGAACCTAAACTAACCCTGACACAACGTCAGGCCATTCCCTCAGGTCCTGTCACTGGTGACCAGAGAGAGGAGATCAGTGCTGCCCCTCCACTGCCCCTCGTGAGGAAGTTGTATACAGTGATGAGGTCTCCCCTCAGCCTCCTTTTCTCCAAGCTGAACAGACCATGGATGCTGTTTAGGTTTATATCCTTTTTGTATTGTGGTGCCCAAAACTGCACATAATATTCAAGGTGAGGCCACACCAGAGCAGAGCAGGACAGTCCCTTCCTCGACTGGCCAGTGATGCTGGGCGTGATCCACCCCAGGACACAGTTGACCCTTCTGGCTGCCAGGGCACACTGCTGATTCATATTCAACTTACCATCGACCAGGACCTCCAGGTCCTTCTCCATAGCACTACTCTCCAGCATCTCATTCCCCAGTCTGTCCATACATTCCAGGTGCACAATCCAGCACTTGCCCTTCTTAAACTGGGTGTTTTAAACACATATCCACAGTGGGGGCTAAAGGGACTGCAATCCATTCACCCTGAAAACCTGCACATACAGCCCCTTCATGCTCTTGCATTGACCCTCATGTAAGTGGGAGTCAGTGAGGACTTCCTCCCTTCGGATGTTTTTGCTCTTTTGGCTACCGTAATAGCCCAGCAAGATTCCTACAGAGTGAAATAATGACTTCTCTTGTTAGGATTCTGGCATTTGTTATTTCTCTCTCCTCCCCCCTCCCAGATAGTTGCTCGGCAGATGATTGCACAGGGGGTGCCAGGGGCTATTGTGAATGTCTCCAGCCAGGCATCGCAGCGTGCGCTGAGGGATCACGCTGTCTACTGTAAGTATGTGCACCTTCAGCACTGCTCTGCTCAGTTTTGACCAGCTGGAGACCCACAGCCACCAGCCCACTGCTGGCTGCCAGTTCTGGGCAGTAAAATATCCCTGTGTGTTCCAGACCAAGCACTGTGCACTTAAATGCCTCCTGTTCTTCCCTTCTTCTGAAGGTTCCACAAAGAGTGCTTTAGATATGCTGAGCAAGGTAATGGCAATGGAACTGGGACCTCACAAGGTAGGAATCTTTGTGAGAGAAAGAAAAGTGTGAAAGCTGAACCTGAACCTTCCCTCCCAGAGCAGTCTGCTTAGATTGATTGTTGCTCTCTGCCCCAGATTAGGGTGAACACTGTGAACCCCACCGTGGTTATGACTGACATGGGGAGAATTAACTGGAGTGACCCTCAGAAAGCTGCTGCCATGATTAACCGGATTCCACTGGGAAAGTTTGCAGGTCAGTGGTGTAGGGTCGTTTCCAGACCAGGCTCTGGTTCCACTGACATCACAGCCAGAGGTACTTCACTGCTTTGTTGGACAAAGTCACAGCTCTGCTGAATGCCTTTTGGCTGAATTCCTAAGTATCTGACAGGGCAAGAATCAGCCTTCTCTCCCCTCTTCTACAGCCTCCTCATCTTGGGACAAGTGAAATGAACTTATTCTATTCATAAATCTGACAGGGAGGGCATCACAGATGCTTGCTGTGAACTAAGCATCATTTGATCACAAGGACTTCTTGATGTCCAGCTCTCAGCCACACTGGTCTGGACACTGCATCAAGCACAGTTTGGAGGCAGAAGTACTTCTCTGCTTTAAGTACCTGTAGGGGTCAAAGGCAGGCCTTTTTTGGGGTGCTTGATTTTCTGGTACCATTTGAGGTGTGCATCACATGTTCTCTGTTTGCTTGCAGAGGTGGATGATGTGGTGAACAGCATTC